TATGACCGATATTTCCATTGCTTCCCACGGTGTTGAGCGCCATGATTGATCATCTTTCTGCAGGCTCTTTTCAATGTGATGCTCCGGGAGTTCGGAGTAAAAGGGATCAAAATCCAAGAGGTCGTGTCACTTGACGAGGAGATGATGGCATTTCTGAAGTAAGTGGCATACCATGATCTAGTTTATTGATTACCAAGACCTTATACACCCACAGTAAACCCATATATGGTCTGATTTTCCTCTTCCGTTGGCGCGAGGATGATCCAGATAAGCAAGAAGCAAGCTGCCCGGAGGGCCTCTGGTTTGCTAATCAGGTCAGTCTTCCCTGTCTAAAGATCTAGCCCTAGAGCTTGCCACTAACATTCTAGCCCAGACAGCCAGCAATGCTTGCGCCAGTGTGGCTCTTCTAAACATCGTCAACAACATCACCAATATCGACCTTGGGGAGAATCTACAGAGTTTCAAAGACTTTACCATGCCGTTCACACCCGCACTGAGGGGAGATGCAATAAATAACTTCGAATTCGTCAAAAGAATACATAATTCATTCGCCAGGTAATTGCTTCGTCCACTGGGCACTCACTTGATTAATTTGGCAGCAGGAAGATGGACATGCTTAGCTCAGACTACCAGCTCAAAGCTGAGGCTACATCCAAGCGAAGTAGGCCAGCTAAGAACAAGCCCGCTGATAATAAAGCAGACGCGGGTTTTCATTTCATTGCCTTCGTCCCTGCCTTGGGTAAAGTTTGGAAGTTCGACGGCTTAGAACGTCAACCTCAGGCGCTTGGTAAGTCATGTCAAGTCTATTACGGTAACTATCTGTCACTGACTGGGCCGGATCCTTAGGCTCTTGCGCATCGGATGAAGATTGGCTGAGCCTGGTAAAGCCTGATATTCGCGCCAGAATGGAGGCATATGAAGAAGATCAGATAGAGTTTTCTATCCTGGGTGTTGCTAGAGATCCGCTCCCTGAGCTTGTCAATCAATTAGCTGCCAATGTAAGGGGCTTAGAAATCATTCAAGAGCGCTTGAGCTCATGTCCCGAGAGCTCTGCTGGTCTTGAATCCACTCTGGCGGATTCGATATACGAAAATACCATCCTGGGACCGGATGAACGCTATGCGTTGACGAGGAAAATCATCGACCAAGTGACCGTCCATGAAAGACAAGAGAAAGAATATCGGGCGTGTTCAGTGGAAGAACTTGTTCATCATCGGCAGAGGTTGGGTCATGCTCAACAGGAACTACGAGCAGCAATCCGAGAAGAGCAACAGTCTCAGCAAATGGATGAGGATTATGCTGAAGGACGAAGATATGATTATGGCCCGGCTATTCGAACGTGGCTACGCTTTCTAGCACGCAAAAGGATGATAGAGGACTTGTTATGAAGACTCCATCAGAACATCCTGTTGTTCTCGTTTGCTTTGTCGTCCTTCTCCACCAAAGGGGATTGGAAGAAAAATAATGATTGACTGTTCTACGTAGAGCGTGCCCTAGGAGCACTCCACGGCGGATGACTACATTAGCGTTGAATAGACATAAGATAGTAGTTTTGTGTCAGATGATCGTTACTGTCCGGTGACTTTGATTACTCGGTCATCGAAACTATGGAGGCTGTGGGAGGTGTCATGATATGAGGTAAAACATGGGAAGCGGAGGGAAAGTCCATACGGACGGAGTACTTACGCTTGATGTATTATTGCATATAGACAAGAAGCGAGGATGGATTTAGCTTCGTGCATGCAGTAGGAGCCAAGTGTAAGTATATCATGTGTGTTGTGTGCACAGAATAAATGAATGGGAAGAACAAAGTTTACCTACTACATAATGTTCCACTTTACTCACCAGTACCTAGAGGGTACATAGGTACTACTGTTACCTAACTAACTTACTAGTAACAAGTTAGTAAAGCCCAAGGAGGGCCGGACAAGGAGCCTCGTGATGCGCCGATTGGACGACAACCCATTTTCGGCCTTTTCTTCCTTCTTTTCCATCATCATTCCAATTCGGTTCCGAATTTCCAGTCTCTCCCTGCCTTCCACGGCCTTCCCATCTTTTCAGCAGAATGTTCCTTTACTATCTACTACTGAACACAAGTACAGAGTAGTAAATGTTAGTTAAAGTTGGCTGAGCGGCCTTTAACAGTACTACTACTATTACTACTTCTTTCCTTCACCCTGTTCATTCCCCCCTTTTCTCTCCATGCTTCTTCGCGTCCCCTTTATCTACATGAATCAGTGGGTAATCCCCACTTCAAACAATTCAGGAGTACAAGCAAGATTCGACTAGTACTGCCAGTGCCACTGACAGTCATTATCTGCAGGCTGGCCTGCGTGACTACTTATTTGACTATTTTGTCTTGCTTTCTTCTTAAGTAGTTAACTACTCGTTCTTTTTTATTTTAATTTTAACCCCCTTTTCTTTCTTAGTCAGTCCGTTCTTAGTCTCTCCTCTCTCCCAACCAATTGCGTGTGTCGGTGACAGTGACGTAGAAAGACAAGAGGGACGTCACCGCCTGGAAGTCAGTGCACGCGCCCGCCGCATTAATTATTCTTCTTATTATCGTTTCTCCAGCACTTTTGCGGCCTTTTTTTTGCCTTGCTTTTGTTGCTATCTCTGGCTGGTCCTCATCTGCTTGCTTATTCCCGTGCCTGTACTCGCTGTGCAAGCCTATTCTTTTTTTTTTTTTCCCTTCCCATCACTCAAGTCCTGTGATCGTCTGGGTGGCTGCCCGGTGCACACCGCAGATCTCGCTCCGACACTCAACCATCGACCCTTTTCGCCACAAGCTACGCAAAGAACACCATCTCTCTTATCCCTCCCAGATTCGCTATACTATCTCCAGACGCATAGAGTGCCATCATGTCTTCAACTACAGTCCAAGACACTCCTGAGAAGGCACCTGATGATTCTTCCAAGTTGAAGACTTTCTTGTCCATTCTCCGCAAGTACGTGGGATTTTGACATGGGCTACACCGTTGCTCACTGCCCGGTACCTCTCTCCGATAGTCTGTGCTGATAGGTCTGGATGGTCTTGCCAGGTTCGTCGGAGTAGCCGACATCGCGTCTGTTCGTTTCTCATTGCCTGCGCATCTTCTAGAACCCACACCAAATCTGGGTAAGCTGTCTCCTGTGCTATCTATCGCACGAGAGTCATCTCCCCTTCGCAGATTGCTAATATAGATCTCCTTTCCTCAATCAGAATACTGGAATTACCTAGACAGACCGGAGGCCTTTGCAAGGTCAGCAAGATAGCCTGTTCATCATTAGGGCTTGTTGTTCTCTGACATGGTTGTCACAGCATTGGTCAATCGGAAGATCCGCTGGGACGTACGCTGGAGGTTCTGAGATTCTGGTTCACCAAGGACTTGGTATACTGCCCTCATTCAAGATGCATTGTCAATCAGTGGCAGGTCATTGACCAGATCACAGAAATACATCAAAGGCAAACCATGCAAGCCGTACAATTCTACCTTGGGGGAATTCTTCAGAGTAGGTTTGAAGCGGAGCCCTCGTGGCCTAAGTTAATGGCATGTTCTGACTCGCCTGGAATTAGTGCACTTGGGAAGTAGATCAGACACTCCCAGAAGTCTCGCCGACTCCAAAAACTTCCTCCAACGCAAAGAATAGCAGCGCAGATTCCGTCAAGATATGCTACTTAACTGAACAAACTTCTCACCACCCTCCGGTTTCGGCTTTTTTTATAGACTGCCCGGATACAGGGGTCTCGGCGCGTGGTTTCGACCAGATCAGTGCCAAGTTCACCGGCACCAGCATCCGGGTCGCTCCTGGCCAGCATAACCTGGGAATATTCGTCAACCTGAAAAACAGAGATGATGAGGAATACCACTTGACTCATCCTGCAGCACACCTTGGTGGTCTCCTCAGAGGCGCTTTGGCGATCTCTGTCTCGGACACTTGCTACATCACTTGTGCGAAGACGCGCATCAAGGTCATTTTACAGTACCTGGAGGAGGGCTGGATTGGTCGGGCGCAGAATAAGGTTGAGGGTGTGATCTTCCAGTACGATCCGGATAAGGATGTGACTACGAGAATCAAAGATGTACCCGAAGGCGATGTTCTTGCCCGGATCAGTGGCTCTTGGCATGGACAAGTTTTCTACACGTTGGCCGGTACAAACGAACCTCGGCTTTTGATCGATGTCACACCCCTCTTCCCAGTCGCGAAGACGCTGCCTCCAGAAGAGAGTCAACTATCCAACGAATCTCGCAAGTTTTGGTCCTTGGTCACCGAAGCGATCGTCGACAAAAAGTACGGCCAGGCTACCAAGCTCAAGCAAGACATCGAGGAACGACAACGACAAAAGGCCGCAGAGCGTCAGAATAAGAACGAAACGTGGCAGCCTCGTTTCTTCACCGGCGCTGTTACACCTTTGGGAAGACCCGAGCTAACAGATGAAGGGTTGAAGGTACTTGAAGGGCTACGCAGCGGTGATTATAGGTTGGACGAGAGTGTAACGAAGGGTGCATAGAGGCGTTATCTTTATAGGTCCGATTGTATATGGACGCAATCACTTGAATCTGGCGTACGCGAAGAAATTGTTTTGGCGACATATAATTAGAGGTATTCGTTTGTTCGGTCTTCCTAAACTTCTTTTGGTTGCCTCGGGATTACACCTTTGTCTGCTGTGCCTATAGGAAGAAAGCATTTAATGATTTTAGATCTCTTTCATCCAGTGGCGGGGCCAACTCGTAAATACAAGCTATCGTCAAGAAAAGTTCTACAACCGTGAAGATAGAATAATGGCTGTACTGAGGGACTTCGCTCTTTTCTTGGCCTCCTATCCCACCCAGCATACGGCCTACCAGGATATCTCGGACACGATTGGCGTTTCTTTTCTATTCTTTTCCAACAATTATGGCCGTTGCCAACTTACAGTAGGTGCCTTGCAGGCAGTTGGATCACCGCCGCAGCACATACAGTATGTCGATGACATTTTTAATCATTGTGAAGTTCCACAAAATATAGGGGTCATAGAAACCGAGGTCCACTGTACAATTCCATTGGGACTAGCCGCCCATCAGACCATAAGGTTAGTCCCCCTTACATATACTGAACACGTGATAAGTAAAGGAAGAGAGGGTAAAGAAAACACAGAAAAGAAATTTAAGCACATCCATCCGTAGTTCCTTCGCAGACACCCGACCTCAAACGCCGCTGGGCCCCCATTTATGCGCCGATGTAGAGACCAAAATCCCAAGTTATCATTATGAAGCATAATTTCATCAGCCTAGGCGTTCGCCGTGACAACTTTGTTGAATCCTGCAGTTACTGTCTTCGTTATTTCTTCATTCTTGTGAGGAAGAAGAGACAAGGCATAAGCAACATCATTCCACTGCCGCTCGGTCTCACATCTGGGAAGTCGAGCAGCCAGTTTCTCAGCTAATTGCCGGGCGTGTTTCTCCTGCGAGCGCAAAAGTGGTCAGCACATGAAGGCATGGATTATTTTATGTGAGGTGTTCCAATGGAGACTTACCTTTTCAACGAAGCCTATCAGGAATTTAACGATACGCCTCAATGAGGCCTCCTCGAGATTACGTTCAGCACTAAGAAGGCTGAACATATCAACGAAGTGGTTGTAGACTGCGTTGTCTTTGCCCGCCAGCTCAGTGAAAAACATGCGGGCAAGGTCAGCAATACGCTTATCTTCATCCTCGAGACACTTAGCCATCTCGCCCAGCTGCCCTTTGACCTTGACCTGACCGGCTAAAATAAGGAATGTAAGCGTCATGAGACAAGTGCGCTTTACCGAAGCTTCGTCATCGTTCAGTCGACGATACAAGAAGTCTGTATTTTCATCGATCAGATGGTTAAAACAAACTGCCATGTCTCCTAAAGCGATCACGGCGTTACTGCGGACCGTTGGATCTTCAGAACGCTCCATGATGGTAATCAAAAGTGGCAAGTTTTTCTCGCAATAGTCTGCCGAGACACACATCAACTTGGCCATGCACAGAGTTGCCGCCGCCTGAAGGTTGCGGTCGGCATAGATGTTGCTATTCGCGCAAATTTCTGTAACCAACGGCCCAAAATTGGATAGGAGCGAATTCTCGCCGTATAGCAATTCCCGTTCTCGAATATGTGCCATGGCATCCTGAAAGTCATCTTCAGTAGTCCCACCGATGAGGTCAAGCTCATCATCTTCGGCATTGTCGTTCTTTTGGTTGGAGGTATTGGCTGTTTTGTTCTTCTCCTGTTCTGCTTTGCGTCGTTTAAAGTCAAGTTCACACAATTCAAGATGAACAATCTGCTTAATGGCAATATGACCGACAACAAAAAGAAGCTGGGATAAAGAAGTAGACGATGTTTCTTGCTTTGCTCCTTGACCTTCCGTTGAAGCCGTTTCAGGTCGTTGTTCTTCTCCGTCATCTGAAACTTTGGAAGGGGATCGTTGAAGCTGTGGCTGAAAAACGAATCTAGTTTTCCGTTTCAGTATATCAGAGCACAAGACATCTGGATGCTTTGACAGGGCATAAATAGCACCAATGGCTTGTTCCGCCACACCGTACCATTCTTTACTATCAGATATCGATTCGACTATAGCCCCGAGCTTCGTCAAAACTGCATGGTCATTGCCCAGTTTGGGGATACCAACGTCCTTGGACTTTGCTTGGCGACCTGGCACCATTCGTCTCAATGCAATGCATGTATACTTTGCAAGCACGAGGTCAGATCTGCCCAGGCTTCCAAGGCCGATGCGCAACATTGTCTCAATTTCTTTTATGACGACCTCGGGATCTGCCAAAGCAAGCATGCCCAGGACAATTATAGCTCCTCGACGCTGCGTCTTTGATATCTCTTTCTTTTGCACACCATAGACCTGCCAGAGCTTCGCAATAACGGCATCTGAAATGTGGCCGGCCCTCATCATAGTACTCAATAGTTGTTCGAGACATGTCAGTTCAGCGGGCGTTGACCCAAACGTTAGACTGATCATGTTTCGCGCAATATAATTTGCAGCATCATTGGGACTAAACGAATCTGGAGCCTCGAAGAAAAGTCCTTTATAGCAGTCGATCAAGTGAGTCTGAACTCCCTTGCCTTCGTCACTATTACCTTTCGTCCAGATCAGTCGCAGCATCCGCCGGATCCCGCTACGGGAGGTCTCGACCTTGTAGGCATCGAGCACGACAAAGAAGTCCATGGCCTCGATGGCCTCACTCTTGTTCCTCGACGATAAAAGCTGAGCGACCAAGCCAGATGAGGAATGAAGGACTTCGATGAACCGGATGGCTTCATTGTAATATTTTCTGGTGAGCTGTAGCCGTGCTAGCAGCTCGGAAGTAGCTGCCTGTTCAGCAGCTTTCTTGATGGCTGTGGCTTTCTCTTCCTCTGTCAATCCCGAAGCTTTAGATGGGGAGTCCTCCGGCAATTGAGTGGCATCATCCAATAATGCACTGTCAACATGCGATGCATCCGCCCCATCAAAGCCAGGTGTCTCGGGAGGTCTCAACGCATTCAGTTCAGCATCCACAGTGTCAAGTCTAGCTGACCATTCCTTGTGCGAGAGTTGCCCACCGTGCATGACACTGAAAGGGTGAGTTGATACCAGCTTTGCCAGCAATCGTATCGCATTCCGGCGCACGTTGCTGCTCTTGTCTTCTAAGCTCCTTGCTGCCAGCTCCGCCACAGCCTGGCGTCGCTTGGGGAATTTCTGTTCCAGGTCACAAATCCTCATGTAAACCTGGATAGCTCTGCACCGACAGTAAGGATTGATATCCAGAAAGCGCTCTTCAAGCACATCGAAAAATGCGTTGATCTGCGTTTTGTAGTTGTCACTCCGCTCCTCTTGCCGGCTTAGATCGGCGATGAGATTCCCGCAGACTTCGATTACTGCACAACGAAGGGTGTATGACTATAGAATATTAGATACTCAGTAACTGGCACGATGGGAGAGTGTGCGTAATCACCTCGCTGTCCAGCTGCTTAGCCAAAAGAGTCATTTGCTTGATGATAAGTCGTGGGGCCAGCTCTGAGAGTTTCACAATGAACGCTGACACCGACTTAGGACCGCGTGTGTCATTAGAATTGAATTCTTTGTTTCCAAGCTCCCTAACAAACGTAAGCCGGAAGTGTTCCTGAGGACATACAAGTTAAAGTATGCTACGTACTTCAGTATTTCATCCGAGAGCTGAGGATAATCATATTGTTCTGCCAAGATATGCAAGAACTCCGCCATAGGTTCTGAGAGGTGCTCAAAATATGTCAAGCTCTGTACGATGGAGGTCTGGGCACCTATCTGGTGAGTTAGTTATTGGGTTCCTACCTCAGTTAGCTGACTCAGAGCAACTTACCGAATGCATGGCCGTGGTGCTTAACTGCGATGCAAAGAACCTTAAATGCATGCATCCGAATGCTCATACTCTTGACGCGTTGTTCGCTTTCGAGGATAAGGTAAATTGAGCGGGTGAACAGATTGATGAATGTATCACGGTCAGATGTCGTCAGAAATATTCTGCTGAGTTTAAGCTTCATCACCTTGCACATCGTCTCCATCGAGATCTGAATCTGCGCGGTCCAGTCCCAGTTTCCATCTTTGGCGTTCGTTTTAGATCTGGCTGATTTCCCTGCGCCCCTGCGGGCGGGTACAGGCTCTGTGGGCTTTTCTGCAGCTTTGACCTCTACGGCACTAAGAGCCCATTGGAGAAGAAACCCATACATTTCCAAGAGCTGCTTGTGATGCTGTATGCCATCCTGCTCATCGGATTCAAGCTCCCCATGTATTATGTCCGCTTCGACCGATAAGCCGGAAACGATTAAATCAAGAAGCTTGCTGAGAGACCTAGTGGGGGAAAACGAGCAATACCTGCGCAAATAAGGGGATTTAGAACCATTTCTATAGATAATGAAGACATCCTGAGGATGAGAGGAACATATCAGGGGACAGGACGCACTTCAACAGAAACTGCAGCGAATCGAAAGAAGACGATCGGGCCAGTCCTTCTGGGTTTTCCGCGACCGCATCAACGATGGGATTCAAGACATTGTCAATCAGAGCGCTAGACAGTTGGTCCGGATCGGTCTCGCAGTCGAGCAGCTCTGGATCAGCATCGGGAGTAGGGACAGAGGCCGGGTCGCTCAGATAGTGTTTCAGCGACTCGTTTATGTCGAATTGAATTCGGTCCTCCATGATCGGCCACTGCGAGGGTTATCCCCGAAGGGCATATAGCTTTATCAAAAGCGATGAGGTCAAGAGACGTGTTGCGAAAGCAATATATGTGTAGGTAGCGAGCCGGAAGGAGGGGGTTGTTGAATTTGGGGGGGGATGTTTGGAGGGGAAGGAGAGCCGCAGGGAAGAAATGACGGGCGGCGGGCTTCATTTGTTTGTATCTTTCCCTTTCGGTAGGTGGTTGTGAGGCGGCGGGGGCTGAGCGTTGCGTACCAGTAAATTATGTCACACGCTTCAACCCTCAATAATTACACTCTCACGCCGCTATCCCGTATTGTAGCAGGTCTTGATAAATACAAATTACAGCATTACAACCAACATATACTGCAAACGGCTACCAGTACACCAGCAACATGTAATCTGATAGGTTTGCTTCAGACCCTTCCGCTTTGTGGTTGTTTCCTGTCAATACTTGTAATATGAAAATTACGTTTATATGATTCATGTAACTACAAACGAGTAAACAAACAAGTCTGGTTCCTGGTGCGGCGGTTTTGCATGCTGTTTGAAGCATCTTTGGATTGTTGCTGGAAAACAGTGGGAGCGACGACCGACTTCCCTCACCACAACACTACAACAGGACTGGGGCTTCTCCTCATACCTATCCACACGTGTATGTGCGCGTGCGCGACTTGATCTAGCAATACCACCCTGCACTCATTCGCATATTTCCATAACCTCACGCCTTCCTTTCCTTCCTGAAGCACGACTATATCATTTTCAGTCTTATTGCACCTGTTTTGTCGTGTTGCTGCCAGGTTCTGCTGATCAAGCTATCACTCAGTGATCTTCCCTGCTAGTCTGTAACAGCCCTTCCAAGCGGTCCTCATTGCGATGTCCGCTCTTCATGCAGTTCCTACCGATACCTTCGGCATACAGCAACCTGTCGCTGCGACCCAAGGCCCCAAATATGTTAGAGAGGACAGTGCAGCCACAGATAGTGATGGATCGATAGAGCAAATTCGAGAAGAGGTGGAGTACGAGGAGGGTGACGCTCAAGACAAAGAGGATGTTGATGAATCAGTGAAAGAAGATATGAGAAAACTCGAGGACACATTCCCCGGCATATCTGATAGATTTCGGCTGTTGAATAGAATCGGAGAAGGTATAGTGCAGCCGATTAACTTGCCCTTGGCTGTGTCCTCCCACATAGTAGCTGCTTCTACTTGCACCGACGGACTGACCGGCTGGCCATGGGTTTACAGGTACCTTTTCCACCGTGTACAAAGCAGAGGACCTCTTGTACGACCACTATGAAAACGACTGGGACACTTTCCAAGGCAACCACACGGACAGTTGGACGGACCAACCGTCTAAAAGACGCCGGGTGGAAGGTGATAACGGCCGCTCGATTCCCATCAAACGAAGGAAGCCACGGTTCGTTGCATTGAAAAAGATCTATGTGACTAGTAGTCCCCATCGCATTCAAAATGAACTTGAGCTGCTACATGATCTTCGGGGTTGCCGATCAGTATGCCCGTTAATCACAGCTTTCCGCTACCAGGATCAAGTTGTGGCCGTTCTACCCTTCTTCCCACACACCGACTTTCGCATTCAGTATCGCACATTCCTGGTTGCTGATATGCGACATTATTTCCGGTCACTGTTCACTGCACTGCACTCCGTCCATAAACATAACATTCTCCATCGCGATATCAAGCCAACGTAAGGACTACGCGCTATTCCACCATGTCTTCGATACTTGCCGGATGCTAACTTATAGCCTTGGCAGTAATTTCCTCTATAATCCTGATCTTCGAGAAGGCGTGTTAGTCGATTTCGGGCTTGCAGAAGTGAGTAGATCCACTGGTCATACGAGGCGACAACATACTGACTTGCGGTCATAGCGTGAGGGTTCTGAGTACACAGGTACCTGCCTGTGCGCAAATGCAGCTTACATACGCCGTAGTAGATATAACCACAGTTATCACAGCACTCATTGTTCACCGACGACATTATCAGCTGGCTATCCTAAGAACGACTCACGACCATCAAGGCGCGCTAATCGAGCAGGAACGCGTGGGTTTCGTGCACCTGAAGTCCTCTTCAAGTGCACTTCTCAGACAACCAAAATAGATATGTGGTCCGCCGGCGTCATTCTCTTGACCCTACTTGGACGCCGCTTTCCTTTTTTTAACTCGGCTGATGATGTTGACGCTATGATTGAGATGGCGAGTATCTTCGGCACTCGACGCATGAAAGCTGCTGCAGCCATGCATGGGCAGATATTCGAAACAAATATCCCGACCATCGGTGAAAAGGGGTATAGCTGGGAGAAACTTGTGAAATGGGCCAGCTGTGTCGAAGAGCTAACTGAAAGTGAGAAACAGGCCACTCGATTACTGGCTGGCCTCATGGAGCTGGATCCCTACAAGCGCCTTAGTGCCAAGGAAGCCCTACAACATGAGTTTTTCACTGACCCTATAGACCATGATGTGGAGTGGGGAGGGGACCCCGACGATAGCGCAGACACTGGGGAAGAAGATGAGGATAAGGATGATGGAGAAGCGGACGAAGTAGCAATGATATAGAGCTCCCGAGCCAATGTATGATAATGACTCCTGGTTTGATGATAATAAAACAACCTCTAACCTACTATTTGCGATCGCTTTATTATTAAACGGACATTTTCAAAGGATGGTTCCTTGGGTCCAGGCGATATATTCTCTAGCAAGTACAACTTCTGAACGAGGGAGCCAGGAAAGACATGTAGACTGAAGAACTGATTCATTTAGCTGCACTGAAAGTAGGGGGATACCCGACCTCTAAGTCTAGTAATTTAGGAGTTGCGGCTTTCACCAACAGCCACATTATAATATTTATAGTGTCGTATATATCTTGGAAGATGGATGCTCACCCAGCTAGCACAGGTTCTGTTCAGCCAGCCTCGCCGAAATCAACATGTCCTGTTTGTTCGGCGTGTTGTGTAGCACCTCTCTCTCCGACGAATGTCCCTCCGCACGTATTGCAACGAAGACGAAACCCAGCTGTGTCAGTGTAGTAATGCCTGGTTTGCAGAACCTGACAGAGTTCCTGCGACTTCTCGAGTACCAATGGATCTGCAGCGTCGAAGACTTTTGTATCAAAGTCAGGAGGCACATCTGAGTGGGTATAGGGCGGACTAGAAGGCGACAAAGCGATTGTATCGTAGTGGATTCCCGAATAGACCACGATACACCGCATCGGGGCGCCTTCGTTAAAGCGATCGATGCGAAGGGTCTGCACGTCTATGGAGCATATTTCAATGTCGAAATGCTTGCTCAGAATGCTCAGCTCAATACCACCACCCCAAGAGTCCTCATTCTGAATCCAGCGGCAGTATTCATCCGGCTTCTTTTCCAATACTGCCTCAGTATAAAGGTCTGGGTGCGCTTGGATTGTTTGCGCAACAACAGATCGTAATTCGGTCATGGCATCTACTCCTCCCATAGTCGCACTACTCACTGCACGAAAGAGACAAGAGTTGTCATCGGGCATGATTCGGAGAACGAAGGTTCCGCTATGGTCAGGCGAGGGGACCTCCGGCGGATCATCAGGAGAACCCTTCTTATGTGTGCTGCCTACAACTGGCGCTTTCAGCGGCGAATCTGCCGCTTGAGGTTCGTTCTTTAGCGGGGCATGAGCCGAGTTCTCTTGCTGTGTGACGATAAGTTGTTCCCCGTTCAGGGTAATGTCAAGATCTGCTAGTTTCTGCTTCGAAGGAAGCGCGCCTAGCACCAAGGGCTTGATATTTGGATATCCATATTTTACATCGTACGCCGTCAGCCCCGTTTTCTCCGTGATTTGGTGCCGGAGGTCGTCGACAGTTGCATTTGCATCCAGCGTGACGGTGGACTGTCCCGCCGGACCGCGAATCCGGATCCTCATTCTCCCTTGTGACGTAGTATCGCGAACGCTAGCGGGGTGGTGGATTGGTAAAGGGGTGTATATAGATATAGATTCTGGATGGAGTGCGAAAGATATTCAGAGTCCAGTAATCTGCTTCAAGAACAGTTGCTGCAGTCGGTGTGATTAATAAAGGCTGGGGGGAAGACAATTGACCAGCAATCGAACCCGGCACCTGAACAATCGGGGGAGGGTTTATCTCCGCCGCAGGAGGAGCGATAGTAGTAATGCCTGACCGCGGCGGAGGCGGGCAAGTGGCGGTGCAGCCTGGAAGTAAGGTATGTTAGTATGTATATTGTATGTATATGTAATAAAACAAGGACGCTGATTATACGTAGTATGTAATATTACATGTATCGTCACAGACTCTTGAAGCTATCTGATGAGTCAGCATAGTTGCTGCGCGAATCTCGTCCTTGTGCGCTTTTGCGCTCATTGTACTCCTGTTCGCACCCCAGATCTGCTCCCGCTGTCGATGTGCTCGACTGACAGGATATTTTGAAATCAAGACTGACGAGTGGGTTTGGGCCCTGATCTGCGTGCCGTTTCTTGCGTGGCCGCGGCCGTCTACAGTATGGAACCGGAGCCGTCGCAAGCGCAACCTCAACCTGCTCCTGAGGAACCGGTCAAGTCGATCGAGAACGATGGCCAGACCGACGGTCAGGCTCCCACCGATGGGATCACAGATGATCAATGGAGGTCAATGATGAATGTGGTTTTGGCTATCTATGATTTCAGAGAAGAGGAGTAAGTTCTCCAATCCCCTTGTCCTGCGGGTTGGACCCCGGAGGAGATTCGCCGCGCTGAGTCGCATTCTGTCCGAGGCTGGATCGTGTCCCTCAATTCAGACTGACAATCCCCTTCTTCCCCACGGGTTGCAGTGGCCATGATCCATCAAGACTGTTCCAGCGAAGCGTCAACAAACGCAATGTTCCTGATTATTACGATATCATCAAGGAGCCTATGGCTCTAAGCATTCTTAAACAAAAGATCAACAAGCGCGAGTATAAGAGCTTCTCGGAGTTCGTGCGCGACTGTGCCCTAGTATGTTGCATCACTTTGGCTCTTTCACCATCCGGGGTTCATAGTTAGCTTACGTCAATCCTGTTCGCTAGATCCCTCACAATGCGCAAACCTACAACCGCCCCAAATCCCAAGCGTACGAAGATGCGCTCGTGATAAAGGTCTGTAGAAACTCGGGCTCTACTTTCGGCTATCGATGCGTTCATGTTCAGTTTCGCTGACTGCAACTTTGACAACAAAAGGATGTCTTCATTGCCGAGTTTCGAAAACTGGTTGATCAAGGGATCATCACTGCGGAAGAGGCTGAACTTCCCGATCTGGGGGAAATCCCCGAGGCCGATCCCCTTCCCGAGGAAGAGGAAGAGGAAGACGAGGATGAAGAAGACGAAGAGGATGAGGAAGATTCGGATGATGAGAGCCGACGGAAGAAGAAAAAGGGCCCTCGTCCGGGTGGTAAACGGGACGGTGGCAAAGATGACGGTCAAAAGTCGAACGATCCTGAACTGAGGAAGAAACGTGGACGACCACCGCGTGTTGATACCCCGATGGAGGCTAGAATCAAAGCTGTCTTAAAGGGTATTCGGAAGCTGAAGGGCCCTGGTAGCCAACTCAAGGTGCGACATTTCGAGCGATTGCCCGACAAGGCCACCTACCCGGACTATTACATGGAAATCAGAGAACCCATTGCTATCGACATTATCAAGCGGAAGTCGAAGCGGAAGAAGTACAATTCCGTGGACCATTTCATGAGAGACATGGACCTCATGTTTAACAACGCAAAGGCCTACAACCAGCCAGAGAGTCAAATCTATAAGGATGCGGTTGACTTGCAATTGGAAGCACGCAAACTGGCGGAGCACGAGAAGAAGAAGCCGGACAGTGAGTACTTGATGGAGGATGGACGCTTGCCCCTCCCGGATGGCATCCTGCACAAGAGCGAGCTGTGGAAGGTTGGCGACTGGGTACATATTCAGAACCCGAATGACGTGACGAAACCCATTGTCGCCCAGATTTACCGCACATGGCAGGATTCTGAGGGTGAGAAATGGATCAACGCTTGTTGGTACTATCGCCCGGAGCAAACTGTCCATCACTTCGAGAAGCATTTCTACCCCAATGAAGTGGTCAAGACTGGTCAGTATCGTGATCACCGGGTGGAAGAGATTGTGGATCGTTGCTTCGTGATGTTCTTCACTCGCTATAATCGTGGTCGACCCCGAGGCCTTCCGCCCGACAAAGATGTCTACGTCTGCGAGGCTCGGTACAATGAAGAGAAGCATAAACTGAACAAGATTAAAACGTGGGCGAGTTGTCTCCCTGATGAAGTCAGGGAAAAGGACTACGAGATGGATCTGTTTGATGCTCCCCGAAGGATCAAGAAGATCCCCAGCCCGATCAAGCATTTGCTGAAGAGCGATGCGAAGGAGACCGATGACCTGCCCAAACCGACTTGGGGAGCCGAGAATGCACCTCCTGTCGTCGGTGCAGTTCATCGCCGCCCTCGAGATGAGAACGTAAGCTTTCCCAAACCCCTTCCCCCCTCTTCCACTGCTGGTGATTGGCACCACTGACAGGATCTACGCTTTACCAGGAATCTCCTCCTCCAGAACCAACCCCGTCACCACCTCCGTCCCTGCCACCACCAACCTTGCCCCCAGCTCCACCTCGACAGCCATCGATCTCTCAGTCGTCTGGACGGCCCAGTATAGACAATCAAAGCACCGGCGTGACGGCTGGAACTGTGGCGGCGGTCCGATCCCCAGCTGCACCTATTCCTCCGGCCCAGAGCTCACCGGCACCAGCTCCTCCGGTAAATTTCCATCAACCCCAGATTCCCCCAACCCAGGCTTATCAGCCTGCCTTGCAGAAGCGTGCTAGCGCATTCGTCCCTCAAACACCTCACCCGGCTACCTACCAAACGTCGGCTATGTCTCACCCATACGCGGCCGCTCAACAAACACCATATAACGCATATTCTGGCAGCCGGTTGCCGGTTCCTCCCATGGGAATGTACAATCCCAACGCTCCTCGTCCGATCGAAGTCTTCCATTTGAGCGATTCCGCGAATGCTGCCATCCCGGCCGACATACGTGAACAGTTCCACTGTGATGACCAGGGTCGCGTGCTATTCTTCTCCAGCCCGCCGCTTGATGTAGTCCCATCCGTTCAGCAAAAGCTAGGCCATTCACTCAAATATCTAGCTGCCAAAGAGGAGCGGAGAAGGTTGGTGGAGGCCAAGAAGCGCAAAGAGATGGATGAACGGGCCGAGCGAGAAGCGGATGCTAAGCGACAGCGAGCTGACATTGAGACAACTCTCGCCGCTCGGGTGGACGCTCTGACAACTAGGGCCGTGGAGAATTTGACGTCCCAGATCACGCAGGGCACAGGTCAGCTTTACGAAATCCTGTATCAGGACCAGGCGGAAAGTATCCGACAGGCAGATGCCAAAGCTCACGAACAAAGGCTTCTTGCCGACCACATGTCCCAGCAGGAAACTGCGCGGATATTGGCAAACTCGCAGCCGCCGAGCTACATCAGCCTTAAAGGTAACGCCATGTACCTGAGCGACATTGGACCTAAAGCTTGATTTGTTGCGAAGGAACTGTCTTGAATCGACTACGGCTTAATTCCCTCGAATGCTCAGTGAGACAAAGACTGCCCACTGGATTGCCACGAGCTAGGTAGGATGAGGGTACAACCACGGAACTTGCTTTGGACGGATGGCGATGTCGTCGTCTTCATCATCATCCTCGATAGCCTCTTGTTACCCGACCAAACTCAAATCGTAGAAGAATTTTGTTCGTCAAGTCCATGTTCTCATGTATAGTAGTACGTTGAATGCAGTCGATGTTTTCTTTTAGGAAGGTCACTCCGTTATAACTTCGTATATATGTGTCACAACCTACATCTTTACCCTCCTAGCAATCCATCTATGCTTGTCAGAATGCAACAGCACAGTGTCAGTGTTGACTTGTCTACGAGGTGGAGACATAAGCTATATTCGGATCATGGAAAGAAGTGGTCTTTCGCAACCTGATCTACCAAGAGTGCGTGTCCAAAACAAGTTCCCCCAATCGGTCTAAAAGCCCGCAATATGCAAAAAGACACAAGATTAATAAGAAAGAGGAAAGAGGGCTGTTGTATAACTCCTGGAGATCGCTGAACTGTTCTATGCAAAATGCCCTCCAATAGCGCCGAAGCCTAGAGCACTCGGTATATCCTTTTTAATGATGACGATGATTTATGGACATTATCATGGACTGGTACCAACCTGTGGTGCTTTTTTTGTTTTCCCTTTGCCCTTTTTTCCGTTATCATATGCTTTTGGTTTTTCCCCTCGTATATTGTATACATGCAGTAGCAATGGCCGAGTATTGGGTCCAGACCAGTATTCTTCAGCTAAATTTATGGCTGGAACCCAGAGTTACTCGTCGGTGTTGAGACGTCGTCGTCATTGGAATCAGCCTTGTGTGGACTCCAAGAAGCGCTGTTTCGCTTATTATTCTCCTCTTCTTCCATGGAGAAGACCAGATCGCCCTGTTCCTCATCAATCTTGCTAGTGCTAACTGGAGATGAGACGGTCCGGTCAAGGCGGCTGCTGGCACCCACAGATGATGAATGACGAGCCGAGCCAGGGTGCAGAGAGACGCTGCTTAACTGTTGCGAGATCATTGACATCGATGACTGACGAGATGGACTCCGGCTACCGATTGGGCCTAAGCTGGGGCTGGTTCCCAGGTTGAGAGAAGATTCGCGAAGGGGAGATCCAATGTGAGTAAGCGAGGTGCCGTGGACATCTTCCTCCTTTCTCTGTCGCTGTTTGGCAAACAGAGCGCCGAAACGAGATGGGCTAGAGGCAAGAGGCGATCCAACTTTTGAGAAACTTGTCCCACTCATGCCCAGTCCACTAAGATCGTGGTCAGTGCGCGACAAACGCCGAAGTCGCTCCTGCGGTGTCAAAACGTCGTCATGCAGATTCATCGGTAAGTAATCTTCCTCCATTGGGAAATTGCTTTCATCCCAGTCATCCAGCGCAGTGGGCCGAGGAACGCTAGCAGAGAACACTCGTGATTTTATAGGCCGCTGGGAGTGTAGGAACCGTGGTCCGATACTGTCATTGAGAAGATCAGGCGGTGATGAACCGATGAAAGAGGAAGATGGCTTTCTCAAGTCATTGGGGCCGTAAGCTGTATCCCGAAGATTCCGCAGTGCATCTGACGGCGCAGCGCCCATCCGCTGCGCTGGCGGAGACAACTCCAGTCCGAATTTGGAGGGCACAGAGGCCGCAACCGGGCCATAACGAGCGGCGTGCGAGATCCCCTGGCTATCAAAAGATGCAGGAAGTGGGGCATCAAGTGCAGTTAAATGATGATGATGGCTTGGCGACATGGGGAAGCGCAGATCGTCAACTGGTGAGCCGTACTTTGAGCCAGCATCCGAAACCAATCCAGTATCAATGGTAGGGATGGCATCATAAGGGGGTTGCTGTTGCTGCTGTTGCTGTTGCGCATGCAACGCAGTATATTCATCCTGGGGTGGCATCTGAGAGCTATACCGGGGATCATGGCCATTCAGTCGTTGTTGGGAAAGAACCGAGTTCGTCAGCGCGGAGTCCTGGTTGACATAGGCCTGTGGGTTGACACGCCCGCCCAAATTCAGATGACTTCCTCCCATTGCCATTCCCGGACTGGGACGATTGACTCGGCGACCATCGGGTAGAATATGCGCCAGTGCACACTTTGCTCCAAATTTACAGTTTCCCTATAATTGTCCCCAAATGCGGTCAGCCCCATGTAGTATCAGGGTCGATTGAGCATAGCTCGGTGCAAGGAACAAACGGTCATGATATCACCAATTCCCTACCTTTGTGAAGTACTTGCAGGGCGCATAATCGATCGCAGCATCGGTAGAATGGAGGAAGGGACATGCCGGCCCGGCCTGGCAAGCTCCTTGACGGAAAAACTTGCAAGGCACATGCTTGGTGTCTGCGCGACAGTTGCCTTCAAGTCAGCATTCAATCAAGACTCGTGGTAAATGGAACGAGTAGCCATGGAGACGAGCGGGACGAGCGTGAGAGAGACCGTCTGGAGTGCAGAGGAATCGACCAGTCTCGTGTGCCAGTGCGAAGCGGCCGGGGGTGGGGGGGGGGGGAAGGCAGAGAACGAGAAAGATAGGAGACAACATACTGCTCTGGTTAGGAGGGCTGCGGGCAGCCATGTCGAAGCCCGAGACGTTGCGGGAATGGCCGTTCTGGAGAGCCTGTGGGCCGGAGGGGACCGGGAGAGGAGCGCGGCTTTTCATCTCACCCGATACACGGGGTGGAGGACGAGCAGCGTGAGAGGACGAGGAGGAGGAAGAGGAAGAAGAAGGAAGGGGTTGCGGAGGTGGAGGATTGCGAGAAGCCGACAGCTGCATCGCCAGAAAGAGCAGCAGCAGCAGTTGGCAGTAGTTTGGCAGTAGTAGCAGTAGTAGTAGCAGCGAACGAGATTAGCGGGCGTTGGGTTCGGCGGCGGCAGAAGATGGCGGGCGGCGAAGAGCACAAAAATCCGGAGGGGTTTATCGGTGGAACGGGGAGGGAAGGAGGAGGGGGGCGAGATTTCCACGGCTTGGTTTTTGCTGGTGGGGATTGATGGATGATGGATGATCACCGAAAAGTAGAGTGAGAGAAACCACGCCTGCTTTGGCGGTGTAGTCGCAAAGTGAATTAATTAAATCAATAGTTATAGTTCACTTTGAAGGGTTTTTTTTTTTTTTTTTTTTTTTTTGTTTCACTTCTCTAGATTGTGAACAATTAGTTCTCAAGTCTCAAGTCTCCCGACCGGTTGGGAATGCTTACACCTCTCGTTTTAGTACGTATGTACCTAGTAGTTGCCCGATTGCCTCCAAAACTTTGAGATATTTTTTTAGTTTATGTCAGGCAGAATCTTGCAATCAATTTAGTCCTATCGAAATTCTTGAAACAAAATGAAGTGTTGACTTTTCGAGTGAATAATAATGAATAGCTTCAGGAGAAAGAGAGCGGGCAGACTTCTACTCTAAAGAGGGAGAGAGGGAAACCACATGGATGGACGGTGATTAAGAAAGTTGCAACTATTTAGTTTCAATTACTCTCAATCTTGAATTTCTGATCTTTTTTATTGCCCTCCCCACTCATTTTCTCTTTTTCTGTTCCCCCTCCCCCCCCTCTTTCTCTTCTACCCTTTCCACCATACACCCTCCTCTCCTCCTCACCCTTCTCTAGTAGTACGATCTCCACATATCTCTCCATACAGTACAATTCGGAAATCCAATTGCTGGACATTCATGCTGGCTACTACAATGAAAGATTTACGGCCATCATCCAACATCACATCACGCCTTGTCTCTTTGTACCAAAACAACGCAGGGTCCTGGGCGCATGACGGTCTCCCGATGCAGAAAGGCAAACCGGCGTCAAAAGCCTCCCTAGTGGCGTCAGATCGAGTCTGCAACAGCTCCTGACTGTGTCGCATGCTTTCTTCCTCCCCCTCAGTTGACAGCCCCATGCTTCACTGTTCCTTGTTGAATCATGAAGATCATCCAATTATTCGTTCGGATGACACCTGTCGGATTGTTCATCTGATCTTCCCCCTAACCCGCATCTTGCGGCCCTAGTTTTTTGCCTCAAAGCAGCTCCCCGGCCTAGGCTGTTTAGCTCTTCTCGGGTTCTGCTCGTCAAATCACACCCTCCTGATCCCGCGCAGGGCGGAGCGGCTGCCGATCAGCCAGATAGATATCTAGTCCTCGCTATCGGATCGTCCCCACACTCTCACGTTGTAGCTGGTGGCACAACATCTGCATCTTTTCCGTACCATGTACCATGTACTGTGTACTCCGTAAACCTTTCAAATGCCCGATTGAGCAATAGTAATTTCTATTGAATTAAATCACGGGTCATACAGTGTATAGTATTTATGGCCATAGGAAGATTCAGGATTGTGGACCAATGTTTGCTTGTGACCAGGTCGAACAGGTAGACCTCTGCCTCTCAATTTCATCATCACTTGAGAAATGGTCCCTCCAATCCCAGATTATCCTTCACCTCGACATCGTCAGCATGTCTCAATATCAATGCAGACCAGTTGTGTTCATCCATCTTACCCATAGTTCTTCTCGGCCCATGTCGTCGGGCACAACTTCCGAACACATCCGCCATAGATCGCGACATATCCGACCGCGCACCTTGGCCTGATTTTGCCAATGTTTCCAGTCTCTTTCAGCATCCACTTTTACCTGCACGGGTACAGTCCCTGCGTCGCTCCCTCGCGCCTGCACCAGGCGTGCACGGATTGCCTCATGTTCTTGCTCAAACTGACCGACGTCCCGTCGAAGTTCGGAGAGCAAGGGTCTTGCACAGATGGTTGCTAGCTCCGCTCGCGTCTTTTTCTCTGCAGCTTCGAGACTGGTTACTTGCTCCTGCAGTTTCTCAGCCTGCTCATCCAACGCTGCAATGATCTCGGGCGTCACTTCGGTGGACGTCTCCTGGAGGGCGTGATATACTATCTGTTTCCCTAACGTATCGCGAATCATTTTTTCCATCCCATTGCACATTTATCCTTATATTGCTTGTGGTCTACTTACCAGCAGCCCGTCCTTCAATTTGTTTATTCTGATGTAGTTCCCGTAGAGCTTTCGCGGCGTGTGCTATCATATATACAGCTTTAGCATGTAAGTCTCACAAAGGTCTCGCCTTGGTAAAAAGGAGCCTACCTTTTGTAATCTTATTGTGCAGATTCACCGAAAGCTCAATAGCCTGCTGTACATCAGCCGTGGAAGACCTTTCCCTACCTTCCTTTATCACCATCATCAAAATCATGATGGAAACCAACCGAATAAGGACGACTGTCTCGTTGACAACCCACAACATATTAGTTAAATGAACAACGCCCACCAGCCTACTCAACCGAGTGGAAGAGATCTATACTTTTGTTTTCCTAGCAAGCAAGCACGGTCAACAATTACAAGACTCCTTAGAGCAAGCAGACTAGCAAATGGTGGAGTAAGCTCACGGAGATACTCTAGCACTAATGCAGAACCATCAGGAGCAGCGGCTTTTCCAAATTCACTTTGTTAGCTGTGCATAAGCCAGCTCGACTGTATTTCCAAAGATTGTGAGTTGCTCACATCCGGAACCCAGCTGCTTCTCATTTTTCGCCTTTCTCTGGGCCATTGAGAGGTCGGATTGCGTTGCTCGGATTCTTGCGAGCAAGATTGAAGAGAGACTTGGGAAGGATAAACCAAGATATGATATGTGGGATTCAGCGAATGATAGGCCCGTTGTATGCCTGGATCATCACGTGGGCCACACGACAGGGCTCTCATCTGGAAATGGAAGGTAGTGGATTAAAATTATCTAGAAAAAAAATTTTGCCTTCAGGCAGGCTGAACACGCGAGCTGAAATTGTGGAGGGGCCAGAAGAGAAAGGACAGACAAAGGCCTGGTCATGCTGCAAGATACTTGGTCCTACGCCGTTGCATGTAAATCATGATACCGAAACAAAACATCACATCCAAGAGCAAACTGGAGTAAAAAAGGGAAGATTCAGGACAACAGGGTGAACGACATATGCAATCCTTAGATGGCCCAAGACACGGAAGAAAACACTATGCATCTTCTCGTCTACTGACCATCCAATTTTCCAACACTCCAAACCATCTACATTAATAGATCCTGTACGCGAGGGAAAAGTAAAAGATATAATAAAGAAAAACCCACTCCCCAAGTTTTTTTTTGTCCTTTCGAATATGGCACAGATGAAGAAAGACCAAAAGTAAGAGATCTTCAAGGGTATCACATGACGATCTGCGCGTAGTTAGCTTGATGACAGCGTCTTTAAAATTGAGATATTGAAGAAAGGAGGTTACATACGCAATCATTGTCTTTCTGGACAGTCGGAACACCCATCTCCTCGAATGTTTTGGGGCCCTTGCCTGGCAGGTTACCATGCTGTTTAGCGGGTGCGGGTTTTTGGCTAGATGTGCTTGAAGCCGTGGAGGGAGGCTTGGGAGTCGAAGTTGAGGGAGGAGGCTTAGGTGTGGAAGCAGATGATGATGAGGGCCGGGGCGTCGCTGCAGCACCGGGCGGCGGCATGGATTCAGTCCGTGGGGGATATGCGGTGGAAGGCGAGGCAGGCGGCCTAGGAGAGCCCGTCGGTCCACCCTGGGAGTGGGGAGAAGCAGGGCCCCGCACAGGTCTCCTGTCTGGGGGAGGCATGTTGTCCAGTCGCTGAGGACGTCTGCGAGCATCGGGGTGAGGATTCTCGAGGGGTGCTGAGTAGCCAATATCGAGTTTAGGTGCCGCCGACGCTGGGCTTGTGGGGCTAGTCGTTGATGGCGTACTGGGGCCTGGTGAGCGGTATCCCATGGCGCTAGGCCCGTACGAAGCAGCACGGTTGTAGTTCGGCGCGTTCGACCGAATATTCGGGTTGATTCCAAATGCAGAACTTGGCCGGGGGTCCGCACCCATGGGATATCCTGGCGGATACACAGGTCGAGCACGAGATCCCGGTCTGTCAGGGTAAGGAGCAGGCGCGGCAGGTGGGTTATCTGATAGAGTCATTCTGGAGGGATCGGGCATTTCGAGATTCTCCTGAGGCGGTTTCATCGGGGGCCCTCGCGGGCCATTGCCATAGCGAGTCGACTTGATCCGGGCAATCGCAACCTGTTCATGATCCTTCCTCGATAGGGTCTTGGAGCGCGAGATGCTATCGATCCGGCCGGTCGCGTCTTTGTTTCCATTTGCTGCAGCTTTGGCATACCAGCTCCTGGCTTCTTTGATATCCACCGGAACGAAGATACCGACTTCGTAGAAATATCCCAAGGCGAACTCAGCGGTGGGGAACCCACTTTGAGCCGCACGTTGAGCATACATGAACGCCAATTCATCATTCTTTTCAAAGACCCCCTCATGGCCGCAGAGGAACCATTTGCTGATAGCCATCTCCGCTTCTGGCTCGCCTTGGCGTGCAGCCAGCGCGTTGTAGTGCAAGGACAATGCAGGGTTAAAATCACAGCTAAGCTGGCACAGTTCATAGGCCGCACCCATCTTGACTTGGGCCTTAGCAAACCCATGGTAAGCAGCCTTCTCGATGTTGACGCGAGCAGCATTCAGATCCAGCGGCAAGAACTGCTCAGGAACGTTTACCTGCGGCAGCTCTCGTGCCAAAAGCATACCGTAAACCTACACAACATGTTAGAGCTCTGGTCACCAAGAGGATAAGTAGGCGGACGCACGTAAGCTCCCTGAGGCGCATTTTCGTCGCAGGACTGCGCAGCAAGGCTGATATAGTTAAGACCCATTTGGTAGTCTTGGCGTTGCCCATGCTGTCCAAGAAGGATCATCATTCCCAGGCGCTATTGATTAAAACATCAGCATTCGCTGGGACGCGATAATAGGGAGGGACCATACGTAGAATGAAGCCGAGTCTGCGAGCGCAACTCCCTTCTCGTAATGCTTGATAGCCTTCTCTGGCTCTCCCGAACTCTCGAACTGCATGCCGATACGATACTCGGCTCTGGCGTAGCCTTTCTCCGCAGCTCTCGAATAGGCACGGAAAGCTTCCTTCTTGTCCACGCGGTATCCAAACTTGCCAAACTCCAGCCACATTCCCTTGATGAATTCGGCCTTGGGATGATATTGCTCCGCTAGAAAGTTGACGATATTCATCGCATCGAGTTTCAGCTGCCGCTCCGCCGGAGGGGTCTGAGGGCGCGGGGGCTGAATCAACGACAGACGAGCCTCATTTTGCATAGCAACTTCCACATAGGCGAGCGCATCCTGCGCCCAGGCCAACTGCATATCAGGATCATTTGACGACAGTACGGCCATGCGGGCCCTCTCCAAGTTTACCTCCCTCTGCTCATCGGTCGGGGGGACGTTAGGTGGAGGATTGCGCAGGACTGGGAATGGCGAAAAGTTGGGGGCGTCCATAGTGTCGTGGACAGCGGCTTGCTCAAAACGAGCGGAATCGTAGGCGGCGGTTGGAGAAGCCTGACCCTGAGCGACCGCAGAGGTAGTTCGTTCAGGGTAACGCGAACGATCATACTGGTTGTGGTGGGGGTTCCGGGCCTCGTGTTCGAGGTGCGCGATATTATCCTGCATGTTCTCCGGGACTTCTGGCATGACCCTAATGGAAGGAGGATTTATCGATTAGCAACACGCCAACCTAGGTACTCCGTACAAGGCCAGGAAAAGACAGGGTTTTCTATTTGGGGGAAATGTGGTGATTTCCCCTTTTTTGTCTGAAGAATGTCTTTTCTTTTTTTATTCTTTCTTATGACCGCTGTCATCCGAGGGGAGGTTTCGCACCTTTGAGGAGAGGGGGATATGACCTCCGGCATGTAGAAATCATCCTGGCCCCCTGGATACCAGGTAGCACCCAGCCGTGGCTGACCGTGACCTTGGGGTGGCCTATTCATCGTCGGCGAGATTCTCCGTTTATTGGACGGTATTGCTTTTTTCACCCGTGTTAGTTTTGTTTCCACCTTACCCCTGCTGAAATTGGCAAAGAAAAATTAATTGTCACTCGTCTCGGACTGGGCGCCAGTCAATAGCGTGTTTGGCACTTTTGGCTGGGCTCAGCGGTTCATCGGAACCTCTCTCGAGAGAAAAAAAGTAGAGCCGGCGTGGGGACTGCCGAATAGTGGTGGAGGACTAACTAACTAGTAAGTCGTTCTCCGAGAAGGGGGAGGGGGTGGGAAGAAGGGGGGGGGGCGCAGTCACGACTAACTACTGTTACTGAACTGATTTGGACTAAGAAGATATAACGGAACACCAAGGAAGAGAGGGCGCGCGCAAGGGCTTCTTCACGTCTAACTAAGAATTCTCTAGCAGGCAAAAGAGATATAACTAGACAGGGAAAGAGTGTGTGTAATATATTCATTTGGGTCTGGGAATGGACGCTAACAGTCTGGTTATTTTCCCTGGCACTAATTTAGGTGGCCTTGATACGCAGTATAGGTGATACAAAGAATAAGATTAATCTTACTGTCGAGTACGAGAGAAAGAGGGGAGGGGGTTTTGTCATAGGGAAGAGGGGTTGGAGGGGGGGGGGAAAGGGAAAAGAAAAGACAAGGCCAGGAACCACCACAGTACTAACAGTACGGACTTCCTTGCAGCCTACCAGGCAGTTCCAGTACGTAGATAGTAGTACCATAGTAGTAGTAACACTAGTAGTAGTATGGAGTTCTAATAAATACTAGTAAGGCTCCTCCACAGGTAAACCACTCCATAACGACTGGACCACTAATAGGTAACTACTGAAGTAGACCTCGTATTAATCATCAATTCTTCCTCTCCATGGTTCGGGTATCTAGTTGACTATCATTCAAGTAAGAAACTAGTGCAGGCAACAATAGAAGAAGAAACTAGAAGACGATAAAGATCGTTACTTGTTCATTTTTAACGAATTTTATTACGAGCAAGTAATCCACATCGGTTGCTTAAGTAGTAGAGGAGATTAATCTTACTGATGCCGGAAAATTCTTGGAAATTAAAATAGTAACTCCTAATTATCTATCTACATAAGTCAACTACTAGTTAGTTAATTAGTTATCTATCTGATGTGAGGTAAGCAGGCACTAGCCCAAATATTTACTTAGTTAATTAACTTAAGTAACTGTTACGGAGGAGTTAACTACATATGGATAAGATAAGTTACATACTGTACATGTATAATTACAATACCTGACCATCATCCTGAGAGTGAGAAGCAGAAGTTTAGGGGCAGAAAGTAAGCAACGATTGATTCAACATTCGAGGTGAAAGGAGGAATCAGAACTGGGATGCTAAGTGCTAGTACTTCCATGGGAACCTTACTTTTCAGCCTGATGGATGGCCAGCTATTTTTATCGCGACAATCGCACTACCACTCTGTCTTGGACTAAGCGCCCAAGGCGTCCGTTAGACTAGTGATGGAAGCCCCTTCCAGAAGGAATCTTACCATACCTGACAGGTACTCCCGCAATGACTTCCCCCTTCCTCTTCCTCTCTTTGGGCCAGTCATCTTCAATCCAAAATAATGACTCGTGTGGAAAACAATTGCTGAGCAAAGCGAGAGCGTAAAATACAGCATCTACAGGCACATCGCACATGCAGTGTCATTGAGAAACAAGAGGTCCAACCTTTTCTTCGAGTTTACTTAGGTAAGTAATCTCTTGGCATCTGTCGACCATCCTCTATGGTGGACCCAAGCCTGGAATTTTCACATTTGTTGGTAATGTGTAACCACCATCAGAGAGTGACTAGTAGGGGTAGGTTAGGCGCGGCTCTCCCCTCCATATAGTGCACTATACATAGGCATATCAGCCTATAGTCTACACCTAGCGACGTGAGATGCTATCCTAACACATGATCCTCTTCTTTCTGAAACATTACCTGGCAAGTAATTAAGATTGTCTTCCTTGTCTGGTCGAACGCAGTCTGAAAGTATACCGTCACGGGCATCAAGTACTGACAGTGGTAAAAGCATTGGTGCTTGGTGTTCCACCACCTGAGCATATAGACTTTGTTTTGTCTCATCAACTTCGGGCTGCCGTTTAATATGGCCAGTGATCAGCTTCGGGCTGCAACACCACCAATGGAACTCCAGCGTACCGATTTTCATCATCCTTATTCGCCTTATGACATCCAACTGCAGTTGATGCGGGCGCTATACTCTTGTCTCGAACAAGGAAAAGTTGCTGTTTTCGAGTCACCTACTGGTAAGCCGTGTAAGCTTCGTGCTAGGTCCATTTGCAGCTAATATAGCCAATCCCAGGAACTGTAAGTTAGATTCTTATTTCCTTTTACTAGTTCGATCCCAGGCGAACGTATACAGTAGGTAATTCTTGGTCGTCACCATATACTATCTAGTAGCCCAGGAACCCCTGGCTTAGGTAGCACAAGCTTGAGAATTCACCGAAATGTGCCGTGGGTTCATGGAATATGGCTAAACAACTTCCCAGGGAAAATCCTTAAGTTTAATATGCGGTTCCTTGACGTGGCTGCGAGACCACAAGCGTTCCGCCTTCCAGACAGCGGTTGACAATGCCACATGTAAGACTCCTCGTTACTGGATAGCTGAAATTCTTCATTAATCGTACTCTAGGTGATGATGACGAACCTGAATGGATGCTGGATTTTGCCAGGCGTGAGTCGAGCCGGAAGATGACCGAGAAAAGGAAGGAGCTTGAAGAGAGACTAGAAAGGACGAGAAAGGAAGAAGAACAGCAAAGGAATGCGCTAGAAAACCCCGAAGGGTCCCGGAAAAAGCTGGTATGAGGTTGAGCAATACTTCTGTCTCGATATATTGGCTGACTTAAAATTCGTCCGTGTAGAAATACAGTATACAATCAACTGAAACTGGTGGGCTAAGCGAAGATCACTTTGCGCTGGATGACTACGACAGCGAGAATGAAGAGCATAGCAAACAGCGGAGTGGGCTGGCCTATACTAACGAACTATCTTCTAGTACACTAGAATTGTTGGAACGCTTTAAAGGACAGTTTTCGACCGCCAAGCCAGGAAGTGACGATGACGATAATGACGAAGTCAAGATATTTTATTGCTCCCGGACACACTCCCAGTTAAGCCAATTTGCCGGTGAACTGAGACGCGTTAAAATGCCATGGAGTATACCGAAGGACTTTTTGAGTACTGACTTGACAGGAGAAGAAGAACTCGAGGAGCGTGTGAAGCATGTCACTCTTGGTTCTCGGAAGAACCTCTGCATTAATCCCCGTGTCAGTTCATTGGAAAATGCAACAGCGATTAATGAGCGTTGTCTAGATCTACAACAGCCCAATGTGAATCCTCAGCATAAATGTCCATTTCTGCCATCCAAAGAAGATGAAAGACACGTTCTTCAGTTCCGGGACCATGCATTATCAACAGTGAAGGACATTGAGGACCTGGGAAAGCTTGGCAAGAAGATCGGAATATGCCCTTATTATGCATCCCGCTCTGTTGTTAAGAATAGTGAGGTTTGTTGCCTTCGAGTCCGACCTTCAACCAACCTAGTAGCTGATGAGTGGCAGATCGTGACACTACCATATCCCTTGCTGTTGCAACGCTCAGCGAGAGAGGCTCTCAATCTATCTGTCAAGGGGCATATCATTATAATCGACGAAGCCCATAATTTGATGGACGCAATATCCAATATACACTCGGTAACGGTGACACTTTCACAATTGCAGACCTCTCTTTCTCAATTGACTATCTATGCCCGCAAATTCAAAACTCGCTTGAAGGGGAAAAACAGGAGCTATGTTGCTCAGGTCATCCGGCTCCTCAGTTCAATCGCTGCTCATCTTCGGTCACTCCTAGAGAGTGGAAAGGCACCGGAGGGCCCAATTTTGGCCTCTGAGCTCATGTCCGGAAAGGGGGTTGATCAGATCAATCCTTATAAATTGAGTCGATATTTACAAGAAAGCAAATTAGCAAGGAAAGTTGATGGATATGTCGAGTTCACTAAAGATCCGTCAAACAAGCAGGGGACAGGGAATCCTACGGTGCCCGTACTGTTTCACATACAGGGATTTCTTCTATCTTTGATGAACCCCTCTGCCGAAGGGCGATTGTTCTACTTGAAGGAACAGGGAGATATCCAATTGAAGTACATGCTTTTAGACCCTACCAATCAATTTCGGGAGCTTGTGGAGGATGCAAGAGCCGTCATATTGGCTGGCGGGACCATGTCACCTGTAAGTTTCAACGGTCATCAATGGTAGTGTATTGTTATCTCACAAATTGTGCAGATGAAAGACTACATGAACCATCTCTTCTCGTATGTCCCGGCCAGTCGCCTAGACACGTTCAGCTACGGCCATGTCATACCACCAGAGAATCTGATCGCTCACACACTTGTACGGGGTGTTCAAGGCTCAGAATTTGACTTTACCTATGATGTCCGTGACTCTGAGAAAATGGTGAGAGCTTTCCTCTTTTGACGTCTAGCATCGTTTTCTATCTGAAGAGAAGCTGACCATTGCTACGTCGGCATTCAGATCATGGATCTTGGTAGGACGATAGCTACGCTCTGCCATGTCATCCCCGACGGAGTAGTGGCATTCTTTCCCAGCTACGATTACCTTGGCCGGGTCCTGAGCATCTGGAAGAAGCCAATGCTAGGCGAACAAGGCCAG